CAGGGTTCAATCTGTGAGTTAGTCGTGCCCTGACTTAGATCAGCCATGAGGTTGTTTCAGGGTTTGATCTGTGAGTTAGCCATGCCCTGACTTAGATCAGCCCAGAGGTCGTTTCAGGGTATTCATATTTGATATTACGAATCTTTTATTAGCAACTCAAAGAAGAGGTTAGACAAACACTAGACAAATTGTCCGCCTCTTTGCCTCATCTTTAAAATGTACCAATCATTGGTAACAAAAATTTAATCAAAATCTGAGTACATTCCATTAGATAAATAAATACGACGCTTTGTAAAATACTACTGCACATTTTCGTCAATATTCCAAACACTTAGTGTAATTGAAGGACACTGATTATAAATGCAATACAACAGTATTTGTTGACAATTCTCGACCTTACTGGGCCCTTCTTCTATCCTTCACTTAATTTTGCAAGTTTATTGGAGCTCGTTTTCAGGCCCAAATTTTATTTCTATTTTTAATTAGTTGGTATAAGCTTGAGAAAGTCAAATACAGCATGAAAACATTTTGCTATCGATTTATAAGTACTATCCAGTTTGTCTTACCTGGGTAACGTCCGTACCATTGACGTTGACCGTGTGGCTATTTACCATTGCTCCAATAGCTACATTCAAGTTAACTCTCAGTCCAGACATAATAAAAAATCCGGCGAAAATTAGCCCAGAAAGAAGGTATCTTTTTGGAAGGCCAAGCATCTCTTTATAGCAATTTTCTTCGAAAAGAAATACGAAATTTTCCCCCCAGATTTTAAGACATAAAAACTATCGTTTTCTAGTACATTAGCGTTTGAATTTAAAAATAACTTTTGCTGGTTTGAGTAAATATATAAAGTTTTTCGCGGCCTGCTTTAATTTTCTGCATCTTTCCTTGTAAAAATTGAGAATTTTGATTTGAAAATTTAAATATAAATATCAATCATGCGTTCAAAACATCGAATGCATTCTGGTGTCTGGTGTCTATATGACCCTACCTGTTCGATAGGCAGGTTTTCAGTTTGTATCATATGCTCTCTGACGTGTTTTAACGTCTTGTTTTACGTGCTTCAGTCAGTTTTTTGATTGCCTCACTAAGCGTAACAAAGATGGAGAGAAAAGATGAAGAATTTTAATTGATGACGACATGCGAGTGTTCATGGTCATCATTGGATAAGAACTGTGCCACGTGATAACCATTTTAGTGCAAAAAAGTGTAGTTTTGCATTATCATGATTTTATAGCTGTGTCGAGATATTTATATTTTCTGAATCAGCATTCTAGGGAAATGTCTAATTCTCACATTAATGTACTACGTACTTCCTTCCAATATATCTTTATTGATCCGGTGAAGGCCATGAAGAATAGCGTTTTCATTGATCATTTTACTTGTCACGTGTCTGTTGTCCATATAAACGCCATTAAAACATTAAAAACTAGCGAACAAGCAACAGAAAAGATAGAAATAAAGAGAGAATTTCGACTTAAGTGAAGTAAGAGCTTTTCCTCGGTTTTCAGGCAGCAGTCGTTTTAAACCAAGAAAGCACCAGGTCTTCTTTTGGAATCGAGATTACGTAACTTATAATTAAACCATATCAAGTAGTTTTTCTGAAAAAGTGCGGAGGGTTAGAAATCAATGAAAATCTCTTGAAAACATCAAAAAAGAAAAAGAAAACAATAACAAAAAAGAAAAGAAGAAAAGTTCATTCGGTAGGGTTCTACCCACGTCCAACTACGAAAAAAAGTAAAAAATCGATCCCACTTTGCCATACCCCCGAGACATCCGCAGAGCTGAGGCGTCGTATGGACTTCGGACCTGACGGCGATTAAAT